AGGTAAGGGTGCGATCAAATTGAAAAGAAAGGTTTACTGGTTGGAAAGAGGAGAGGCTGGCCAAAGATTGGGGAGAATTTTAGAAGCCGACAAAGGATGACTCAAAAGAAATGGAAGGAATACAAGAGAAAACTAACAAGAAATCGAAATAACAGACAGTCCAAGCTTCTGCAAAGGAAGGGAGTTGCTAAAGTGAGCAGTGGAACTTTAGAAGCCGAAACCAGGGAGCTAAGGATGGGAAACGGCAGTGGTTTTGAGAAAATATCTCACACTGATCTTCACAATAGAAGGGGACTGTGTCTTCGGGTCTTAGAACAAGTGACTGCATACATGACGGGCGGTGTAATGGTTAACATCGTCGGAATTCCCAAAGCCAAGCAACTTGGAAAACTGCAAACGTCTGCTCGCAGGAAGGAAGGGGACAGCATAGAGTAAATTTTAGTCCAGTTAGTCTCAAGACCTAAGTCACAGGGACAAGAGGAGGCCATTCAGCCCCTCAAGCCTGCTCTGCTGTTCAACAGGATCGTGGCTGATCCGACATTTGTCACCTCCACCCCCAAAACCCTTAATTCCCCGACTGATCAAGATTTATCCATCTCAGCCTTAAATATACACAAGGACTCTGCCCCCCACAGCTCTCTGCGGCAAGGAGATCCAAAGACTCATCACCCTCTGACAGAAGAAATTCCTCCTCATCTCAGTCTTAAATTGGTGCGCCTTTATTCCGAGAGTATGCCCTCTGGTCCTAGGTTCTCCCATGAGGGGAAACATCCACTCAGCATTGACCCTGTCAAGCCCCTTAAGAATCTGAAATGTTTCAGTGAGAATACCTCTCACTCTTCGAAACTTGAGTGGAACCCCAACCAGTTGTAGTCAGACTTTCCCTCTCTTATACTCCAACCCCCTTGAAATAAGGGCAAACATTCCACTAGCCCTTCTTGATTCCCTGCTGTACCTGTGTGCTAGCTTTCTGTGTTTCATGTACAAGTACACCCCAAGTCCCTTGGCGTTGTAGCTTTTTGTGCTTTTTCTGCATTTAAATAATCCTTTGTTCTCCCTTCCAAACTGAACTTCACATTTTCCCACACTATAGTCCATTGGCCAACTTTCTGCCCACTTACTTAACTTGTCAACATTTCTTGGTAAACCGTTTCTATCTCTCTCGCCATGTGCCTTTCCACCTATTTCTGTGTTGTCTGCAAGTCTGGCTTCAGTATATTTGCTTCTTTCTTCCAAGTCGTTAATATATATTGTAAACACTTGTGGTCTCAGTACTGAATAATGTAGAACCCCCCTGGGAACAGGTTGCCAACCTGACAAAGAACCCGTTTTCCCCACTCGCTGTTTCCTGCCCATCAGCTAATTCTCTAAATACTACCTCCAACACTGTGGGCTCTTATCTTTTGACTTAACCTTTTCTGTGGTACCTTGTAGAATGCCTTCTGGAAGTTCAAGTACAGCACATCTACTGGTTTCCCTCTATCCACTCTGGTTGAGGCTTTCTCAAAACAACCCTTAAGAACTTTATTTCACTCCTTTCTGTAGTAGCAAATTCCACAGGTTCACCCATTCTCTGTGGAAAGAAATTTCTCATCTCAGTCCCAAATGTCCTACCTCGTATCTCACCTCCTGGTTTGGGATTCCACAATCATCAGGAACATCCCTCTGTGTTCATCCTGTCTGGTCCCTGTTAGAATGTGATAGGTTTCTTTAATCGCACCCTCCCATTCTTCTAAATTCCAGTGAATATAGTCCTAACCGATATAGTCTGTCTCCATACATCAGCTGTGCCATCCCAGGAATCAGTCTGGTAAATCTTCGCTGCACTCCTTCTATCTCCAGAGCCCCCTTCCTCAGATAAGGAGACCCCAAACCTCACACACACAATACTCCAGGGTCCAATTGCAGAGAGACATCCCTGCTCCTGTACTCCAATCCTCTCGCCATGGAGGGGCCCAACATCCCATTGGCCTTCCTCACCGCCTGCTGCTCCTGCAAAGCAGATTTTCAGCGACTGGTCTCCGAGGGACACCCATGTCTTGTTGGACATAGCCCTCTCTCAACTTACAGCCATTCAAACCATAATCTGCCTTCCTGTTATTGTTACCAAACTGGATAACCTCACATTGATCCACATGAAACTGTATCTGCCATGCATTTGCATCAGCCTGTCCAAATCACACTGTAATGTCTCTGCAACCTCCTTACAGCTCACCCTTCCACCCAGCTCTGCATTATCTGCAAATTTTGAGAGATTACATTTATTTCCCTCATCTAAATCATTAATATATATGGTGACTAACTGGGGTCCTGGTGCTGATCCTGGTGGTAACCCAGTAGTCATTGCCTACCACTCAGAAAAAGACCCATTTATTCCTGCCTTTGTTTCCTATCTGCTAACCAACTTTCCTTTCATCCAACACACTTTCTGCAATCCCACACATTAATCTCGTTTGTGGGACTTCTGAAAGTCCAAATAAACTACATCCACTGGCTCCTCCTGTTCAACTCTCTTGGTTATATCCTCAAAGAATTCCAATCAATTTGTCAAGCCTGACTTCCCTGACATAAATCTATACTTACTGTGTCCGATTCTACCACCGCTGTCTAAGTGCTCTGCTCTAAAAATCCTCAAGAGTTGACTCTAGAATCCTCCCCACTACCAATATCAGACTGTCTCCATTTTTAAATCGTGGCATTACGTTAGCTACCCTCCAATCTGTAGGAATGGATCCAGAGTCAAATGAATCCTGAAAGATGACTGCTAGAGCATCCATTAATTTTAGGGTCACTCTGGGACATAGATTATAAGGCTGTTCAGATTTATCAGCCTTCAACACCCATCAATTTCTCCAACACTATTTCTCACCCCATAGACTCCCCTCCCCTGCTGCATTTCAGGTGTCCCCATTGTGAATGTGTTTAGGTGGCCAGCCATTTCTTCGCACCCTATGAGAAATTCCCCTGTTTTTGTCTACAATTGTCTTCACCAACCTGTTTCTCTTTATGTATCTATCGAAGCTGATAGATGGTTTCTGCCTTCTCCACAAGCTATCTCTTGTACTTCTATTTCGCTTTCCTTAAGCCCTTTCGTCCTCCTGTTCTGAATTCTAAACTGCTCCCACCCCTCGACACTTCTGTTTTATGGCCAATTTGTACGCCTCTTATGGAGTCATACGGCACAGAAACAGACCCTTCGGCCCAACCAGTCCATGCTGACCATAATCCCAAACTAAGCTAGTCCCACCTGCCCGCTCCTGGCCCATACCCCTCCAAACCTTTCCTATTCATTGTACATATCCAAATGACTTTTAAACGTTGTAACTGTACCCACATCCACCACTTCCTCTGGAAGTTCATTTCACATATGAACCACTCTCTGTGTATAAAAGTTGCCCCTCATGTCTTTTTAAAATCTTTTCTCCACTCACCTTAAAAATATTCCCCCCAGTGTTGAAATCCTCCATGCTTGGGAAAATATACCTGCCATTCACCTTATCTATACCCTTCATGATTTTATAAATCTCAAAACCTGGGGTGGCACAGTAGCTGAGTGGTTCGCATTGCTGCCTCAAGGCACCAGGGGCCTGGGTCCGATTCCACCCTCGGATCGACTGTCTGTGTGGAGTTTGCACATTCTCCCCGTGTCTGCGTGGGTTTCCTCTGGGTGCTCCAGTTTCCTCCCACAGTCCAAAGGGGTGTAGGTTTGGTGGATTAGCCATGGGAAATGCAGGGTTGTAAGGGAGCGGAGGGGTGGTCTGGGTGGAATGCCTTTCAGAGGATCAGTGTGGGCTGAATGGCCTGCTTCCACACTATCATGATTCTACGATGAGGTCACTTCTCAACCTCCTACACTCCAGTGAAAATAGTCTCAGCCTCTCATTATAACTCAAGCCCTTTCATTCCTGGCAACATCCTGGTAAATCTTTTCTGAACCCTCTCCAGGAGAATAATATCCTTCCCTTATAACAGGGAGACCAGAACTAGACACAGTGCTCCAGAAGAGGCCTCACCAGCGTCCTGTACAATCTTAACATGACGTCCCGACTCCTACACTCGTAGGACTGAGCAATGAAGGCAAGTGTGCCAAACGCCGCCTCCCACCCTGTCTACATGTGACACAAACTTCAAAGAACTATGTACCTGAACCCCTCTGTTCTATAGCACTTCCCAGGGCCCTACCATTAATTTTAGAAGTCCTGCTCTTGTTAGTCTTACCAAAATGCAATACCTCGTATTTATTCAAATTAAATTCCATAGAACAGTACAGCACAGTATAGGCCCTTCAGCCCATGATGTTGTGCCGAACTTTTACCCTAAACCTAAGGTCTATCTAACCTCCACCGCTACCTTATATCCACAGCAACCTCCATCTGCCACTCCTTATCCCATTGACCCAATGGATCAAGAATTCTTTGTAATCTCAGACAGCCTTCTTCACTGTCCATTCTACCATCAACCTTGATGTCACCTGTGAACCTACTAAGCATGTCCTCTCTAATCTCATCTAAATCATTGATATGAATGACAAACAAAAGTGGGCCCAGCACCAATCCATCTGTTCTTCTATCAAACACATGCTATATCCAATTTCCTGTTTCAGGCATGGATTGGCCATCATTCCTGTTTTGACTTTTAGGCCAGACAGCAATGAACGATCATCGCAGTTCACTCACGAATATTTGCTCTTGCTTTCCCACCATCGTCCCTTTAAGTCATGTCTATCATCACCAACTCCTGCCTCACACCATCAGAATTCCCACTGAGGGACCCTCATCTCACCGACTCTCCATCTGCATGAGATATTCCTGACAGTCCAGGCCCACTTCGTTTTGGCCTGTGCACAGCAGATGGGGGCTGAGAAATGAGAAGGAAGGATTGGGACGGATTGCTGAACGGCCTCTTCCGGTGCTGCTGTGATTCTATCACCTGACCAGTCGGGTGGGGAAGGGGTGGAGTGGCCCTTTAAGAGGGAGAGGCCGAGGGTTCAAATCTAGGCAAGTTGGTTCAGTTTGTTGTGTGAGCTCTTTTGGGACGTTCAGTTATGAATTATATGCCGGGGACAGCAAGTCTTATTGAGGACATTGACAGTGAGTGTTTGCAAGGGGGAAGGGAGTTGCACAGTGCATCTTCTGTGCAAAAAAAAACATGAAATGTCAGGGCTTGGAAAGTTTTCTTGGCTGCTACCGGTCATACAGGAACGTCTGAGAGACCGGAGGGTTTAATTTGTCTGAAATTTGGGGCTGGGCTTGCATTTGGGGGGACAAAACTTGGAGTGAGCTCTTTCCTGAGTGTGTGAGAAATCTTTGTAAGACCGGTGAAGGTAAAAGTGCACTAATTTCAGTTTCCCCAAACAGCTACCAATCCAATTTCAGTGTTGGGGAAAATGTTGCATCGTGAAAATTGTAGGCAGGATTGAAGGAGTTTACTTCTGGTTGCATTTGGGTGGGGGGAAAGAGGGGGTGTGGGTTTGGGACGATGGGTTGGGGTGCTCTCAATTCTGCACAGGAGGAGATTAGTTCGTTAGTTAGTTTGTGAGCCCGACCTGGCATTGGTTAAGATCTTTTCTTCCCCTCTGCATCCTCAACCCTTGTTTTGAGTTTTTCACCTCCTCGAGGTTTTGCAGAAGGACCTGGATAGCTGCAGTTTAGTGTTGAGGGTCAGGGGTGAGGAAGGGGAAATGGTGGCGATCAGTGCTTTCGTAGAGGTGCAGAGGGGCAAGGTTATATTTGATAGCCCGGGCCCCATAGTGGACAGGTTCCCACACCAAAGTGGGGGGAGTTAAAGTCGAATCAGAGATAGTAGGAACTGCAGATGCTGGAGAATCCGAGACAACAAGGTGCAGGGCTGGATGAACACAGCAGGCCAAGCAGCGTCAGAGGAGCAGAGAGGCTGACGTTTCGGGCCTAGACCCTTCATCAGAAAAGGAGTTAAAGTGTTGGTCTTTGTCTCTAAGTGGTTGGATATTTACAGGGTGGGTGTTATGGCCTGACAGACCCAGACATTCAGATTTTGGCCATTCCCTTTCTTGAAGGATTTGGCAGATTTTGTGCCAGCAGACAAGATGGCGCTTCAGTCCATCTTGCCTGCCCCTATCTCCTGCATTTTTTTTAAAAAAAAACGCTTTCTAATCAACCCGTTCAGAAATACTTGAAAAAGGATGTACTGACACTGGAGGGAGTGCAGTGGAGGTTGATTCCAGAATTGAAAGGGTTGACTTATGGGGAGAGATTGAGTAGACTGGGACTACACTCATTGGAATTTAGAAGAATGAGGGGGGAGATCTTATATGAACAGATAAAATTATGAAGGAAATAGATAAGATGGAAGCAAGAAGGTTGTTTCCACTGGGGGGTGTGAAACTAGAACTAGGGGGCATAGCCTCAAAATAAGGGGGAGCAGGTTTAGAACTGGGGTGAGAAGGAACTCCTTCACCCAAAGGGAATCTGTGGAATTCCCTGCCCTGAAGCTATCTCCTTGAATGTTTTTAAAGCTAAGATAATTCCTTTTTACTGTTCCAGTTTAAAAAAAAAATCACGACGGGTTACGGTGAGTGGAGCAGAGTCCATGAAAGGCAGAGCGGGCTGGAGGGACCAGATTGCAGCCTCCTGCTCCTGTTCCTTATGGTCTTGCACACCTCTGAAGCAGGTGGGACTTTGTCCCTGCGTACCATTTTTATCCAGAACAATCAGCCCCAGAGCGAAGGTTGACAGGAATGTAACCAGGAGACGGGTGGGAATGGCCGGGGGGCCTTATATTTTGGGGGACAGATTGCCCACTGGATAGAACGATGGCTAGATGCAGTGGTCTGTGACGTTAAAGGTTGCTTGATTTGATTGGCTTGATAAGCTTCGACTTGGAGCCTGGATGATGTCAGGAAGGACTTGGTAACTGGTGACAAACTGAAAGTGTGCCCTCTGTCTGCACCCCCCCACTTTTGCCTGCGTTCCCAAAGATCATTGAGATGGGGCTGCTGGTGGTGGCATTAGAACGTTGCCAAGGCTCAGTCTGAGTTGTTGCTTTTTCTCACGGTCACCCCAGTTTGAGGCTTGAAAATTGTCACAATGTGCAGCCCCTCAATGTGACCTCTGAGGAGGTTTGTGGGGAGGGAGGGGGGGTAGGTGAGATACAGTCGAGTTTAGGGGCTGGGATCAGTTCTTGGCTGTTGCCATAGAGGGCCAGTCTGGGACAGTCGCTGATGTCACTCAGTCAGCTCTCCTCAGAGGCTGTTGCTACACTGGAGCTCCAAGCTCCCCAAATTTCCATTCACGGGGCCCCACTCTGGGAAGTCACGCCTAAAGGACAAGGGAGCCAAGGGCTCGAGTTGCAGATCAGTCCAGTCCTCCAGTTGGACGGGTTAGACATGGGGGAAATGCAGGGGTCGAGGAATGAGTCTGGGTGGGATGCCCTTCAGAGGGACTTGTTGGGCCGAATGACCTGTTTCCACACTGTCATGACGCTATGACTCCATGAATGGTGGCAGTTGGGAGAGGGCTGAATGGCCTCCTCACTGTCTGCCTTGACGCAGTCCTCCAGCCTGGCACTAGAGGGTGCTGCTGTACCATACAGGCCTCTGCTGCCGCATAGTGGTGGAGGCTGGTACTGCCTTGTCTCTGGTTAGTTTCTGCAGGCAGTCCCATCCTTGCAGTGTATGACTGAGGGCAGTATCAACAACAACTTAATTTCTGTAGCAGCACAGTTGAGAGTGGGGAACAAGTCCTGCGGAGCTCAAGAGGAATGTTGATCAAAAATTAATCTTGAGACTGAGTTATGGGCAAGTCTCTGCAGAGGAGAGTAGCATGTCCTGAACAGCAGTAAAGCCCCAGAAAGTTCTGAACCTGCACCCAGTGGGTGGGGGTGGTCAGCCTGTATCTGCAAGGAGGCCCAGTTTCAAAAGTGGGGCAGTTCTTAATTGCAGGAGGCAGTTGGTTGTGTTTAAATAAAGCTCTTGGAGTTGGTGGCTGCAGTGGAGACTGTTCAGCCCACTCCATGTCCTGCTAGCCACTCAGCTCTGTGCCCTGGCTCTTTGCCTGCAAAGCCGTCTGACATTGGCCTGTTGGTGCCAAGTATTTCAGCTGCCCCTATTTCGAGAAGGGTTCTGGTGGCGCAGCGGCAGTGTCCCTACTGAGCCAGGTCAAAGTCCTACCTACTCCAGAGGTTTGTGGGGTGGGTGGTGCTTCGATAAATACCTTCCTTCCAGACAGTGGCTCAGCCTGAGAGGGGACCCAGCCCTGCGTGGGCAGCAGGAGTAAAGAGTGGGAATAAACTCCGGTTGCCACTTGAGGTCTATCTGCTGTCTCTGACGGTGCCCGATGGTAAGAGCTGGCCAATTCTAGTCCACCCTGAGATGTGAATTGGTCCCTCTGCTAGTGAGGTCAGGGCATTCACCAGGGGACCAGCTTAAGCAAGGGGATGGCATCGAAGGGTAATTGGGGAGAGGGAGCTAACTGGGGACGGGGTGGTGTGAAATTGATCTTTCTAAGCTGTTTAATATTACAGAGAAACACCTCGTCCTCCTACGCGATGGACGAACACTAATTGGATATTTGAGAAGCATCGATCAGTTTGGTGAGTACAACGTGAGTCTCTGACGTGACAAATGAAATGAAATAGCGTTCAATGGTTTAATTGATCTGTGTTTGATTGTGCCAATCTGGTGCTCACTGCTCAGTTAGTTAAGCTTGCGAGTTAATGTCTGACCTCAGGAGTTTCTTCTGTCCCTCTGTTTGATGCCTGCTCATCGTCCTTAATCCCAAGTTCCCATCCCACTGACGCATCCTCGGCTAGAAATATCTTCTGACCATAGCGTGTGTTTGGAAACTTTTAATTTTGTAAGTAACACAGAAACCACAGGGCTTCATAGCAATGTGGCTGCAATGGAGTCATCACTATAGATTGACCCCCAGCTCTTCGGAGGGGTGGTGTTGGGCTGAATGGCCTGTTTCCACGCTGTCAGGACGCTATGACTCCATGAATGGTGGCAGTTGGGAGAGGGCTGAATGGCCGCCTCAGTGTCTGCCTTGACGCTGTCCTCCAGCCTGGCATTAGAGGGTGTTGCTGTACCATACAGTGAGGAGCACCCTCTGCTACCACATAGTGGTGGAGGCTGGTACTGCCGGTCTCTGGTTAGTTTCTGCAGGCAGTCCCGTCCTTGCAGTGTATGACTGAGGGCAGCAGTAACAACAACAACTTAATTCTGAGGTCAGGTGTAGGATATGGAGAAGGGAAGGCGAACATTGGGTTTAAATCCAGGTTTTTTTTGTTTGTAAATCGGTGTTGTTCCCCTCTCTCTGGAGAGTGGTTCCTTTCACCCCTGTACCCTGTAGTGTCACTGAACCCTCTTGTTGAATTCAGCTCGCACTGTTAAAACCGTTTGTTTGTTTTGTACTCTTGCAGCCAACTTGGTTCTCCACCAGACCCTGGAACGCATTCACGTGGGCCGCAAATACGGAGATATCCCGCGAGGAATATTTGTCGTGCGAGGAGAGAATGTGGTCCTCCTGGGAGAGATTGTAAGTCCTGCGCTGACCAGCGTTCAGACCAGGTTTCGGGCCTGAGTGGATCTGGGGTTGGATGGGGTGGGGGGGGGGGGGGGGGAGCGGCTTCAGATGCAGCTGGAGGTCACCTTTTGGTGCTCGCCCACGCGCGTCACCCGTGAGCTTTGCTTGAGGGCGGCGAGATGGCATTATGCAGTTTGGCCCCCTCCCCAGACTTGCTTCCATGTGAGGGTCTGGATCGCTCTGGGTGAAGTAGCAGAACCCAGACTGGTGACCAGCGATAGCCCGCCAACTGAGTACTTGAACTGCAGCAAGACTGGCTAAGAGGGCCAGTCCTTGGTGGAGGTGCCAGCTCCTGGCAAAGCGGGCATCTGCGACCGATTCACCCGAGCTGGTGACACGACACTTATCCGCGAGTGACTGCACCTTGAGTGCCTTGCTGTCACGGTTGGATTTCTTCTCCTGGGCAGTTGTTGAGCCCATCGTTCTGTTGGGTTTCTGGCATGCGCCATTTCCCAGAGGGCACTTTTGCTGGGCTGGGGTCAGGAGTCACGCACAGGGTTCTTCCCCTTCCCCATGCATTTTGAAGGCCCTGGCATCGGCGAGGTTGGCTCAGAGGGATGCCCTCCTACCCCGAGCGAGACTCAACCCCACTCCCTGTTCGTTTGCCCGCCTTTTGCAGGACCTGGAGAAAGAGAGCGCCTCCTCCCTCCAGCCCGTGACCATCGAGAAGATTCTAGAAGAACTGCGGCTGGAGCAGGAGATCCGTCGCCGTGCCGAAAAGCTGAAGCTTCAGGTGCTCAAGGAGCGCGGCATCACGCTACCTCGCTTCGACACCCTGGACGAGTATTGAGAGAGGCGCCACTCGCATTCTGGACTTTGGGGTTTGGTTGGGGGGAGGGGCGCCCCTTCCCTTGAGTTAGTGCTGGAGAACTTTGGCACAAAGATCTCCTGACCCCCTCCTCACCTCTGTTGCTGCTGCCATTCACTATATTCGTGACTCCCCCCCCCCCCTTGCTGGGACACTCCGCATTGGTGGAAGATGGTTGTCCACCACCCAGTGGTGATGCTAGCAGCTGGCACAAGCCAAGCGGGCACCATGTTTATGCACTGGCTTTGCAGAGACTCCAGGGCTCCGGTCTTCCTGTTTTATTGGCTCGGGAATGGAGCATGGGTCCCATCCCAAGACCAAGTGCCTGAATAACCTTGGGGCGTTGGGATGGAGGGGGAATCTATCAGACCTCGCTTGATCCTTCCCAACCACCCAAGTCCAGATGTTGGCACTTTGCAAATATTGAGCTTTATCTGCACCATCCCACCAGCCCCGCACCCCTTCCCCCACATTGCTCTGTCATGTTGGATGAGTTTTGGGATTTGGCCGAACGCGGTTTGCTCTGGGAATGTTGTGTGGAGGCGGAACAGATTTTCCTGGAGACACTGGGTCTGAGCCTGAATCTCCCCCTGAGGACGAGAGCTCTCCCAGGGGCACCTGTGTCCACAAACAGACTCGAACCTGCCCATTTTGATCTTTCACTTCTCTTTAAAGCTGCTCAATTTGCTGTTTCCAGTTCAAGGTTTTTTTTTGTTGAAGATGTATCCGTGCCACTTTCAAACTAGGCTGATTGATTTGCCAATCCCACTATTTACTTTCTAATGTCCGAACAGGAGTCAAACTGGTCTTTGGGATAGAATTACATCCCGAAGAGTTGAGAGAGCCATCAGGAGTATGTTGACAATCATGTTTGTATCTTTTTTTTGTCTGTGTTTTTGAGAGAGAGAGAGAGAAACCTCCTCTACCTGTAACTACTGGCCCCTCAAAAGATGGTGTTCAATTCTTGACACCATCCAGTCTTTTTCTCTTCCCACTGAAAGTCACCAATAAACTGCTTCTCCTTCACCACTGAAAAGTCCCTGTGGTTTGTCCGTTCACTTTCTCAGGAATTGAAGTAGGGGTTGTGGGGGCCAGCCTCTATTTGGAACTGCAAGGCTCAAATTGTCAGCAACATTGGCTGACACAATGGGCCCTTGACTGAACGGCTAAAGTCTTGGGTTTGGCAAGATGGGGCGATTGGAGACTGCGCTGCACACACCACCTTGTATAGTTAATGGGAGTGCTTTTGTTTGCAATTGCGGCCAGCTATCCTGAGCACTGTCCCCACAGTAACTGTGAGCTGTACTGTTCAGGCGTTCTGGACACTTTCCCAGGGCCACGTTTGTTATCTCTGTCGATCTGCACTTCACTGGAAGAGGGATAGGAGTAAATATGTTCTGCTGACACGGTACTGATGAGTTTCCTGCAATCAGCATAGTTGCCCAACTCGTCCTATCATGCTTGAAACATTAACTGGGTTTCCAGTACTTTCAGTTTTTATTACGGGTTTCCAGCAATCAGTGTTGTAATATTTCCCTACCTTTTGTCGGTGTGAGTTTGTCGTGCCTGTAGCTGGGTCCCAGAGCAGTCAGTTGCAGTGTTACTGCCTTGCACACAGAGGCCTGACTAGTGTCGTTGAATGGCCCCTTTTTATCTCTCTTCAAATCAAGATGATCCTTGGAAACGTAGGGATATGGGATCATCCTCCTCCTCCAGGAAATCCACTGCAAGAAATCATCTAAAAGACAGAACGAGAGGCACAGTGAGGGAATTCCACAGATCAGGGTTCAGGCAAACAGAGGGCAAAAGAGGAAAATACAACAATCGTCATAACAGAGGGCAATGGGCTTGTACACAGTCTCAGTGAGTGTGTGGGTGTCTGTATTCAAACCAGTGATTTTTTTTTTTACAGGAATGCAGGCTTATAATCAGCCTTCAAAAAGGGGCAAATACAGTCACTGGCTTTAGAGGGTCGAGAATAATAACGGTCTGTACAAGGAGCAGTGTGCTGTAGGCTCACAGTGATTGGGGGGTCGGGCCACAGCGTGTCGAGACAGTGGGTGGCACTAACGGTCACCCTTGAGCCGCAAATCCAGCTGAGTGGGTTCTTGCTGAAGTCTGTTGAACAGGGGGAGCTTCATACAGACCACCCAGCCCCTGCTGGCAGCGTGGTCCTTCCCCCAACTTCACCCCTACCGCCACCCCCCCCCCCCCCACTTCTCTCCTGTTGTGTTCGAGAAGAAGAAAGGGGGTCCGTGTGGCTTTGGAGGAGGGGTTGGGTGAGGGGGAATGTTTGCAGG